GCTCTTTTTAAAAAAAATAGAATTAATAAGGATGTGACCTTTACGTTCAGGAAGAAAACAACACAACAACATGCTTTGGCATAAGATGAGAGAGTTTATCATCACTGCCAACCTTTGGATCAGGTAGGATTATTAGTATTCACTAACCACACTTTATAGTAGGAGGAGAGGAAGCAGAGAACTCACAAGAACCATGGCGTGACTTAACACAAACCAGTGTGAGGATGGATGAAAAACACAGTTTCCCTTTTTCCCCCACTTTTGCGTCTCCTCTCGTTCCTCCTCTGATGTTCTCACCTCGTCCCTCCTGCTGCGACTGTGGGTGGGGTCACAGTACTAGAAAGAAAACTGGCGGAACAACGTAACAAATTTGGCTGTTAACCCAACATCAGCCGCTACCATGTTTGAGCAGCTGCCACGGGGACCGACGGACTCCCACAGCAGGGATTGGTCTTCCTGTCTCTCACACCTTCACCTCCTGAGATGAGGAGGACGCCACAGCGATCGGAAGGTTGTGAACTCAGGAGCGGAGAGAAGAGAGTCAGGGAAGGAAGTTAATTCATATGCACGTGTTCTTTTAAAGAATTTAGGAAGTGTTCTGGTCAAAATCACATTTTGGATAATATGTTTATGGATCTCTCTCTCTCTCTTTTACATCCTACTCCCGGATATCCTTGCTCGTATAAATAAACAAAACATTTCGAATGCGTCCTCAGATACAATTAAACGACAGCCAAAACCACAAAAGTGGAATAAGATTTCATAACAACACATGCATCATTATCCTGGCTAATATCACTAAAACTGTGGGATTTTAATTGAGCTTCTTTCCAGTAAGCGTTCATTCCATGACTCTGGTGGAAGCACATTTGGTTCTCTGTGAAAAGGATATGCTGTTTGCATGCATGAGTGCAAAAATGTCCTGTTTGTGTTTTGGATACGACGGAGGGATACTGATGCACATTTTGTATATAAAACACCAAGGCATAACTGGGACTACAGACTGCCCGTGATGGACTCAAGCCCCTCTTGGCTCTCAAAACCAGGATTTTCTGCAGATTTCTAATTTGTTTTTAGTTTTTATTAATTTCATGACCTGACATTTGTTATTGTTTTGGATAGAGGAAATAACTCATTGGGATTTAATAGAGACCAACAAGTGTTTGTGTTTGTGTCAACTGTCAATGTCTGAGGCCTTATAGAATTTATTATAAAAACAAATCAACTTCAAAAAGCTTCATTTTAAAAATATTTACAATATAATAATTAAAATATAATAAAAACAATTTAAGCACATGTTGAAGCTCATTTATGCCTAGGCTAACTTTGAGGTATTTCTCTGCTATCGTTTAGCTAGTTTTCGACTAGCCATTTTGATATTTCATTGGCTAACATTTAGGTATTTAGAAAAAGTTACTTTTTTATCATTTAAATATATTTGTAAATAGAAATGTTTCGATTAGCATTTTAAGCTAACGATGCGCTATATTGCCTTTAAACTACAGTAGAGCAGTTTGCATGAGACAGGTAAACAAAATAATTTAGTCAAAGTCAACTTTATTCTCAAACATGCCATACATACAGGACATATGGCAGAATGAAATTGCAGCCCTCTCAGATTTAATAAGAAAAGCTGTGACCCAGTTTGTCCCTAACATCTCAACCTCAGTCGCCTCGTTGTGCGTTTGTTCCAGCTGCAGCCTCAACTATGTATTTGCAGTAAAACAAAATCTTAACATCCCTGACTCACTTCATGTTCATCAACCCTCCGTTTGTTTGTTTGTTTATTTATTTTATTGTCTGCGGAAAATTTGTGTCACGTCAACTGGCCCAGGGGAGCGGTGGTGAGGCACAACGAGCAGAGAAATGTGGCTTCACTTAGCTTCATCCATTAGAGTGTCTCAGACACTGCAGCGGGTCAGTCGGACTTCTATTGCCATACTTTTGTTTTTTTTAATTGTAGCTTTATTTGCCCTGAACCCGTGTTTGTTTGTAAAAACTGCAAAAACGTTTTTATGGCGAAACCAAACTCACCCTCGTCTCCCAATGAGCTGGCATTCCTCACCGAAGCATTCTTTCACCAGGATGCTCGATTAGAGGTGGAATTACAGATAATATGACTAAGAAGGCTTTTAAGGGCTTCCCAGAAGTCGGAAGTAACATCCGGCCCAGTACTTTTATCAGACTAGGAATCTCCTGAAGCTCACCTTTAAGGACGGCCTGTTAATCCTGTAATGAACCGGACTCCTAGGGTTCTTACTAATTTGAATCACTTCAGCACAGATGACAATTAAAATGTTATTTTGGTGATACATCTTGATGTAGACTCTGAAGAAAATCCAGTGTGAGTCACACACTGGGGAATTGTTAATTAGTGAGATGAACGGACTGTAGTGTTTGTGCACATGTACAAACACACAGTAGCAGAGTGTCACTCAAGCTGAATAAAAAAAATAGAAAAGAGCTGTATTTAAAATTTAACGTTTCTTGGTACATTTTTAGCTAATTTGCTAACATTTAGTATATTGTAGCCTGACAGTCATTTTCAACTATATTTGTTTGGTTTTGACTTTTTAAAACCTAAAAGTATTTCCTCAAATTCTCTGCAAACGATAAAGCATCTTCAGTGTTAGGAGTTAGGAGTTCAGGAGTTAAATATCATGTTTGAAATGACTGTTTTGAGATTGGTCAAACCTGAAGTGTCTTTGATTGGCCCTTAAACACAGTCTGGTCTTTCACATGAGTAACACTATTACAGACACCGACAAAAATATTAGGACATTTCAGGAACTTTGTCAACAAACAGGAAAATATCTCTTTTACATCAAGTCCTTACAGACAACATGGCAGAGGGAGAACTAGTCCAAGGTGTCCATTGGCAACAGTGCGTACACACATACAGTAGGCCTGTATGGCGTATGTTATGTTAGTGTGTCTGTGTGAGCCTATGTGGGGGTAAACTGTATCCCACCCCTGAGCTTCAGCTCTCAAATCAAAGCCCTCAAAGTAAACAGTGCACTGCCAGAGGACCTTGTTTATCAAATCTGCAATTGCACACATAGAGCGAAATGACCTACAATTACAAGCCCAGCTAGAAATTAAGTTTTCAGTCAGCCGTCCAGAAAAAGATCATAGGATATCCTGCAAAAAGAAGGAGGGATTCTTCAGCGGCCCGATGCTTTCCTCCTCAAACACCGTGGCCGCTTCACAGTCTTGCTTTTTAGTTTAAACGGGAAAAAAAAGTTACTTTTAAGTAGACTGACAAATTAAAGTTGATGTGTACAGTTTATGTCACATCACAGTCATTTCTGTAGAATTTCCCAAACAACCACAAGAAGCTCATACTTCCAAGAGCCGGAGCTTTGTTGCTACCAACTTGTTCCGACCACTCCTTAAATGTCAACCGTTCCAGCAGAAGCAATTACATGCAGCTTCCCCCCAAAAGCAGAGCCAAGAGTTTCTTTCTCTTTCTCTTTAAAGTGTGTAAAATTCCCTCCTAGTTTAATTATGTGGTGCTGGGTGGAACCTGGAGGCCACTCTCTCCTCTCCACTCCGCTCCGACCTAAGTGCATTTTCCATGGCACAGGCGTGCGACACACGGGTTCCCACAGAAGGATCGGAAGCGCCGCAGATCTGAAAACCTGGGTTACAGCATTCCTGGATCTGTTGAGCAGCGCGGTGACCTAATCGCCTGACCACCTACCGCTCCGTGCCAAATCCCGAGCAGCGGGCCAGACACCCCTGAGAGTAACATCCGACTGCCCGGTGAAATATTACGTCAGGAGTGAGTCAGTGTGGACACTGAGACTGAGAGTGGGTCTGAGACAAACACAGGAGCTGTGCTCAGACTGGATTAGAGCTGGTGAATAAACTGTAGCACAGAGAGGAAACCTGTCACTGCTGGCAGCCGTGTAATTCAGTTTATACTGTTACAGTACATTTAACAGACACGCTGAAAGACTGAAGTCACCAAGGAGACCGTTCCTAACATCAGACAGAGGAACAGAGCACAGCAGAAATACGACAAAAATACAGAAACGAAGGCAATTTCAATATAAATCTAGAGCCAGTGCTGATATGCCAAACTCAAGGCCCGCAGCCCACATTTGGCCCATCTTATAATCTTATGTGGCCCATCACAGCTTAACATACATGTAAGGCAGCTGTGATAACCACAACACCATGGGACCAATAACACACTATAACAACTGTTATGGTATTAAGCACGAAGATTTCTGAAGTAATGGGTCTGCAGCCATATTTTCTCTGTCCTTTAGTTTCTTCTAGAAGCTACTGTTGTGTCCATTAGCTTCCAGTGAAGCCAATGATATCTGAAGATATGTATGTGTACATATTTTAACAGGCTACTGTATTTGAAGGATATGTATGTGTACATATTTTAACAGGAGTGATTCATTAAGTCAAATTCTTAGATTATCAGAGACTCTGCATTTATTTCCAAGTACATTTACATATTTGACTTGAAAAAAGTGTTGACATCACATGTAGAGTCTAGCTAACATTACTGTAACGTTGGCTGTAATGAGTGACTGAGTTTTTAATGTGGGGCTTGGGGACCAGACTGGGACACGGTTCATGATACTGACAACAAAGGAGGAGAAACTGAAGATGTCACTGAGACCAGGAGGGTCGGTAAGTCTGTGACTGACTCTAAGACCGTCAACTGGACTGTGATTGTGTACTGTAGACTGATTGAACCTTTGATACATTCTACAAGCCACCGACCGTCACAGTGACTGATACCCACCAACACATACATCATCAGTCTGTTTAAGCAATACATAAAACAACTATTTTATATCATATTAAGTAATGATTTATTTCAATCCAAGCCCACAAATTAAGCAAATTGAATATTTTATCGTTTGACAGACATCTTCATATTAAGTAATGATTTATATCAATCCAAGCCCACAAATTAAGCAGATTGAATATTTTATCGTTTGACAGACATGTAAAAAAGGTCCATAGAAACTCACCAAGTCGACGTGACGATGAAACCCCTGCTGTGCTGTGTGTCGGCTGTGATGGAGTTACGGCTGTCAAACCCGTCATTTTCCATTGTTATTGTCTGTTGTTTTTTAAATCACTTGCTGTTTGGCAGCTGTCGCTTTAACCACGTCCAACTGAGAACTCCGCGGTGATTTAGCCCGTCTGCTCGTTCAGTTAAAGTTGAGTTCAGTCCATCATTTCTGTCTTGAACACATTCTGAATAAAATCCAGTCCAAAACTGACCAATTAGGGATAATGTTCTCATTAAGAGCTTTTCACATCCACCTGTGCATCCAAAACAAACATGGCGGAACACCTGTTGTGATTGGTTGACATCAGCCAGCCCCGCCCACTAGGTGCACAGATTGGTTCATTTTACTCTGACTCCGGTTGGTCTGACACGCCCCTTCTGTAGAAACATGGTAGAATTCCAAGGATTAGGAACATAAACATAAGTAACAAGTATTTTCCTGTGCAATAACTCACAGCGTCTGTAATACAGATATTTGATTTTTGTTTTTATAATTATATATTTGAATTATATTTTTATTACTACTATTATACATGAAGCCATGTCCAATTTTCTGCCCTTTGTCAATGCAACATGACAAGATTTCCCCAGTGTGGAATCAATAAAGTTTAATTGAATCTAATCTAAATCTGAACAAATATTTTTAGGAAACATTAAATATAAATTATTATATGTATTAATATATAACATTAATTAATTGCATTACATAAATAATTTTGAAAATCCACCACATTTTAAATAATATCAATTAAAGCGGTTACAATAGTTGGCCTCTGAGAAGACCGGCTAAATTGTGGGGAGAGGAAAACATTTCAAGCTCCTTCAGGGAAAAGGACAAATGTCAGATGAATATCAAACATGAACCACATACATTAATCTGCCCTGCTATTACTGTTGAAGGCTCACTGTGATCAGTGCAGTAAATTTGGAAACCAGTGACTAAAAACAAGCTGCTCTTTGACAAAAGTCTCCGTCTGCTGTGTCCAGCTGTTGTGCTGTGTTGACATTCCAAAAAAGAATTCCTTGACAAATATCCATGCTGGAGAACCAGGCCTCGATAAACAAATCGCTCTCTCCTAATAAATCAATTCTTGTTGCTTTTATTGGTGTTTTGACGTGAGCGTCAGGCACATCATCAGTCACTGAGGTGATTTCACAGCATGTGTGGATTTCTCCCCAAAACTGTGGCACTGCTGATGAATATATGTATAACATAACGATGTCTATACAGTCACAGCATTGGGCTCTGTTTGTACTGCAATACATCAGATGTATTGGTGCTAACCTTATAATGAGTGATTATAATTAGTAGCTCTGACGTGTAATTATTTGATTAGGAATTGTTTGCGTGTGGGAAACATCTTCTGCCAAAAGTTCCTCAATTTTTTTTATGTTGTTGACACACTTCATTTATTTATTTATTTCTTCATTTATTTTCAACAGCTATGTACAGTATTTGCATTCACAGTAAATTCACAAATATAATTTTTTAATGGTCTCAACACAATTTACTTTTAGACTGATGTTAACTGGAGGCCACAGCTGGGGGTCGAACCCCTGACCTTTGTGGAATTAAACCTCTCTCACCACTTGCTAACTGTTCTTGAAAAAAAACCCAATCTTATTAAGAAAAACCCCAAATCAGTGTTAGAAATGTGTTTATCAACTCGAGGCCCACGGGCTGAATCCGGCCCAGCAGACTGTCCAAACCGGCCCACGGCTGGATTCTAAAATAAACATCAAATCATAAAATTAGAGAAAATTTTGATTTTTATTTCAATTTTTTTGACTGTCTGACCTCCAAGGTAAATATAGTTGATAGACCCAGATGTAAACTACATTTTCTGACATAGGCCAGGTGTTAGCAAACACACCATCGCTATCATAAGGAAAACTAATTTTAACCTGTTACGGCAGCAATATATGTTAAAAAAAGACATTCAATGTTTTAAAAATAGGACTAGACAGATTTTCAAACTGAAACAGAATCAAAGTTTTTGGTTTCTCTCATAATAATCCATGCATTTTGTTTGCACTATGTTGCGAAACGAGAATACATATTTAAATATTTTTTTAATTAACTGTAAGCACTCAGCACAGTGATTGTTAATTTTCTCGATATCTACAACAAAGATGACATGTATTTGACTTTTTTAAAAAAAACAGGTTTTTCTTCTCTGTCTTCGCCTGAAACCCAAAGCTCATTTTCTCTGAAAAAAAAGAGTTTAAATCTGCCAGAGTTATTACTGAAAGCTGAAGGTAATGTGAGAGTCAGACAGCTGTAGAAACAGTACTTTGGCCCTTTATGAAAGTTTAGTTGGTCAATCTAATAGAAGAAACGAGTTCAGGTTAAAAATAATATCACCAATTCGAGGCCTGTATTTCTTTTCCTGTGTTTTTTTTTTTTTTTTTTGTCTGAACAGCCTGTCCTCCTGTCTATGATTCACCCTCGTAGGGATGTTAGCATTTTCCAACTGCTTGGAATTCCTTTCCTGCTGTCTCAAGAGCACACACTGCGTTTTAAAACTTGTTGGGTCCTTTCATGTTTTATTTGAAAGTACGTAATTACATTCTTGGAGGAATAACAGGTCCAAAGAGTGATTTACATGCAGTATTATATTTCACATTTGTGAAAAGGCGATGTAGACTTTGGACTCTTTAAACGTTTCCTGCATGGGCTTCAATGCAAAGACGATGAAGAGAGAATATAAGAGATGGAAACGGGAGTTCCTTCACTGCAGCCCAGTCTTGAAGCCTCACTTCACACTGGCTGTGGTCGGTGCCTGCTCCATTTCTAAATTAATAGGATTAGACAAAAAAATAAAAGTTTTGTTGATTTGCTGTTGGATGTGCATCAGTACGCTTCTCAGTGTTTGTCTTTTCTCCATCCGGGAAGGTCAATTAAGGTGGCTGCTAAAAAGAAACTTTTTTTGTCCACTTTTTGGTTTGTTTTGACAAGTCAAAGTAAAAATGGAAACAATTTCTTGCTTGAACAGCAACTTTTTAAACACAATATCCATAACACGTCTCTGTGGACGTTGGCGTTTGGCCTCCGACGAATGGCAGATATTCAGTTTCGAGACTGTTCACGTTATTTCTCTTGACACCGTTTGAGTCCATTGTGTTGAAAGTAATTCAATTACGCTCCATTATGTTTAATTTTCATTAATTTGTGTCAAAATTTATTTTTATGCTGAGCTCCAGAACGTAACACTTGTGAGGTTCTGTGTCGACGCATCAGCACCAGCAGTGGAAAGTTTATTTGGCGGCCTCTCAGCTCGGCCTCTCAGGGACTATAGTGTGGGCAAAGTCAATTCCCCCTTTTCAGATTAAAGGAGTATCTTCAAGTGCTGGAGCAAATGGTGATAAAAAAAGCTTTTTAATCCATTGAGAAAGTTTCCCAGTGCAACCCCCCAGAGTCCCTGCATCAGGCGTTGGCCCACTCAGGCAGCGTCTGGACAGTGTTGAAGCCAGAGTGTGTCTCCTTGCACCCTGACAGAAGGAGAGAAAGGCCTTAAAAAAGCACCTCCTGCCCTCCTTCTCCTCCTCCTCCTCATCCGCCACTCACTTGACCAGCTCCCTTTGATAACATCTGGCAGGGCCAGGTTTGCAGCAGTGACAACAGGAGATGGAGGGACATTAAAGCACTGCCACTCACTTGGCAGGAAGGCAGCCAGCAGCTCCACAGCATCCGCGGTCTAAACCCTTAATCACAGAGACTGGCGTGTCACTGGCCATCTCTCTTCCTAATGGCTCTGATGACATTCTCCAGCATCAGCAGAGTGTTTTATGAGATGATGTCTAAGCTGCTGATACCCTCTGATGCCGGTTATACACTGACCGTTACGAAACAACAGCGTCTGGTTCTTTTGTTCTATCGATTGTATGAAAAAAATGGTCAGAACTACTAAGATAAGAGAGCCTTTAGTCTAAGTCCGGTAAGTACAGACTGGGGCAGTCTAATAAGGGCAGTTTGAACTTTTTTTATTATCATTCGTCTATTTCCGGATGATACAATAAAAGTCATCTAACCTTTGAATTTATTTTTATTGAGGAAACAAGCACTCCAGTTGAATGTGGGATTAAATCTTTCCAACAGTAACCAACATGAATGCCATTTCCAAACTAAAAATAGTCAGAGAACTAAAAAAAGACAGAGAAACAACATAGATTCCTGCCATCATATTAGAGTTGTTTCAACTAAATAGGACCAAATTCCACATTGTGAATAAATTGCAACTAGAAGTAAATTTAATTGTTAAGAATTATTCAATAAAGGTGGACATCTCTATTTAGCTCGAAAGAGAAGTTGTGCTAACTATCTAGCTAAATCTGAAGAATTCCTCCAATCGGCATCGCGTTAACAAAATCTGAAGAATTCCTCCAATCGGCATAACATTCTAAACTTTCTTTGTGGGTCACACTGTTTATCCAAACAGCCGTGTCCTTTGAAGGAGATGGACCAGAAAAGACTTGGACCCGTCTTTGTTCCCATGAAGTGGGGGTTTGAAGAGGGCAGTTTGCAGAGGCCAAGATTTAAGTTTCAACACAGTTCTCCCGGAAAGCCTCGGTCCAATTCAACATCCATCCCTCTCCATTTTCCTTCTGTTTACTTGAAGGTTCATGAGTTTACATGCCAATTCCATTACAGGGATTAAAATAGTTTGTTCAACCTTCTCCAAACTTCGTTCCTCTTGTCCTTCTCCCTCCTTTAACCCCCTCACACCACTTACAGGCTTTCAGGTCCCAGGGCTGCTTTAGGGGATTACAGGACAAGCAACACAAGCACCCAAAGAAACACAAGGCAGCTGTGTTAAAGAATGTTCCAATGAGAAGTGAAAGCTGAGGTTTGATCAATGGCTGCGGCGCGTGTCGGCACTAGTGAACACTTCACGGAGTGTCTGGGTGAGAAGAAAGAGAAAATGGAGGTGTGTTTTGACATTGGGCTTGGGGTCTGTGTGGCCAGGTCGCCTTTGAGCTACTGCTGATTAAGGGCTGGCGTTCACAGGTGAGCGGCTCCGAGCAGGATTTAGTGACACAGACGCACAGGGGTGAAATGACCCCACTCTCCCGGCTGAGGTGAGAGCAGCAAAGCAGCGCTGACCTCTCCCCTACATGGCCAAAGGCAAATGTCAGAAGATGATGAAGTCTCTGCAACTGCGCTACACTCAAAGAGGAGTGATGGCAGGTGAACTCTTATAACTAATTATATAAAGGGGTCAAATAGTTGGCATATAAGACCTATGCTATAATTTCAGAAGGTGCCTGATTTTATTAAGGCGTCAACCGAGAGACAAACATCCTCATTTATTGTCCCTCGTGAAGACGGACCAAAGTAAATAATTCATGTATGTAGACATAAGGCAGAGGTTCCCAAAATGGGGTGCGCAGCGCCATTGCAGGGGGGTAGAGGGGGACTTAACTCAAAAAGAGACTGGCAAAAAACAGCGCCATTGCAGGGCGGTAGAAGGGGACATAACTCAAAAAGAGACTGGCAAAAAACATTTTGGTTGAAAGGTGGTGTAAAATGGATGTAAAAAATGAATGTAAATATTGTACAAATATTATTTTTAATTCTTGCTGTTGTTTTTGCAGTCGCCCATGTCTGAAAACAAAATGTCTGTCCCATTTTTTTTTTTTTTTTGGGTGGGAGAGTGCTAAAATTTGCAATGAGCCAATGGGAGGGAGGGTCCAACAGAAAAAATTTGGGGACTGCTGACATAAGGAAGGGGCAGCAGAGAAAATTTGGGGACTGCTGACATAAGGAACGGCGTCCTATATATCTGTAGGTTCTCAAGCAGTTTTTTTTAAACCCTTTCTACAGCCTGTTTAAGGCAGGAACGCTGTTCCTTTATCCCATCCCTGGAAGACAATTGGGGCCTTGTTTTGCACACAATC